TCTCTCTCTCTCTCTCTTTCTCTCTCTCTGTCTCTCTCTCTCTCTTTGTCTCTGTCTGTCTCTCTCTTTCTCTCTCTATCTCCCTCCTCCTTCTCACTCACTCATCCTCCAATCCCCTCCCTCTCTCTCTCTCCCACAGATGAACACATCCTGTCTTTTTACTCCTCCTCCCTCTCACCACTCACTCATCCATTTTCTCTCTCTCCCCCCTCTCTTCACTCTCCCCACTCACTCATCCCCCCTCCTCACTCAATCATCTTCCCCTCTCCCTCCCACAGACGAACACATCCTAAGCCCACAGATCCTCTCCAAAGTCCTCTTCTTCCACCTCCTCCCTCTCCTCCCTCTGTTCACTCTCCTCACTCACCCCCCCCCCCAACCTCTTCTCTCTCTCCCACAGACGAACACATCCTTAGCCCACAGATCCTCTTCAAAGTCCTCTTCTCCTTGTCTCCTCCCACTCCTCACTCACTCACCCCGACCCCCCTCCCCCTCTCCTCACTCTAACCACTCGTCCTCCCTTCTCTCCTCCCTCTCCACCTCTCCTCACTCTCCTCACTCACTCATTCCCCCCCCTCCACCTCTTCTCTCTCTCCCACAGACGAACACATCCTGAGCCCACAGATCCTCTCCAAAGTCCTCTTCTCCGTGGCTAACGTCATGAGCTTCGCCCGCATCGCCTACATACTTCCCGCCAGTGAGACCTTCGGACAGTTACAGATATCTTACGGCAGAATGCTACAGGTGAACGGCCTATGTGTACCCAGAAAGGACTTTAAATTGCAAATATCTTAATGATGCATGATCACTCTGATAACAATAGCTTAGTTTAGAAGAGCCTTAAAGCTCCAATACTGAATGGTTTGAGTGAGGTAACCTATTGCTGTCTGAAAAGGCCGTAGTATTGCGGAATGTTTTTCAGGTTATGGCTTCCTACTTCCCCACACCCAACTCTCCAAGCCCCTCCCTCCCCCTCCTAACGGTTTTCCACTCCCCCCTGCCCCACCCCACATCTTTCCTTCAAGCACCTCTTTCCCAATGCTTTTAGTTTTAGTAAGAATTTTACGGTACTCGCAACTTCATAAGGTCATATAAGCGCCAGAAGATTAGTACAAGAGAGAAACAAACATAAGAAAGAAGAAAGGGAGATATAAGGACGATAGATGTTTGATAGGAAAGAAGAAGCAAACCACACCAGAGCACCCGCCAACCACCCACTTTCACAATGCTCCCGTGTCTTTTTTAAATGGCCATATATAGTATTGTATTTTTCTACAGTTTATTTTTTGCTCAGCAGGGTCTGTCTTGTGTGTAGAAGCAATAATTATGGACATGTTCTATATAAATGCAATTATTACAAATATGTGAGTCTATTTGTCTGTTTTTGCCCGTGTGCGTCCGCAGGACGTGGGCAAGTTCATCTTCATCTACGTGACCGTCATGATCGCCTTCATCTGTGGGCTGACCAGTCTCTACAGCATCTCCAAGAACGACAACTTCTCAGGGTCTGTCCAGGCGGGAGGGAACAGAGGGGGAGAGGGAGAGCGGTGATAAGATAGGATAAGATAAGATAGGCTAAGATGTGATATGATATTATATATATTATATGATATGATAAGGTAAGATAAGATAAGATAAGATATGATATGATATTATATATATATTATAAGATATGATAAGGTAAGATAAGATAAGATAGGCTTAGATGTGATATGATATTATATATATTATAAGATATGATAAGGTAAGATACGATAAGATATGATATTATATTATATATAAGGTAAGATAAGATAGGCTAAGATGTGATATGATATTATATATATTATAAGATATGATAAGGTAAGATAAGATAAGACAGGGTAAGATAGGATAAGACTAGATAAGATGAGATGAGATATGATAAGATTAGACTGGATAAGATATGATATGATATGATAAGACAAGACAAGATAAGATATGATATAATAAGACAAGACAAGATAAGATAGGATAAGACGAAATGAAACCAGACAAGACAAGACAAGACAAGATAAGACAAGACAAGATAAGATAGGATCAGATGAGATGAAACCAGACAAGACAAGACAAGACAAGACAAGACAAGACAAGACAAGACAAGACAAGAAAAGGCAGGACGAGACGAAACGAGATGAGATAAGAAAAGATAAGATAAGATGGAAAATGTGTGAGATGGTAATTTTCATTAGTGAGATAACATTCATGCGACAAAATCTAACATGATAATAAGTTCAGGTAAGCCCCATAATTCACAGCCCCCTCGATAGTACATTAATGACGTCACTTCCTATGGCGTGACCCCAGGTTGACCGACACGACCTTCACCTTGTTCTGGGCGGCCTTTGGCATGGGCAACTCCCGTGCGCCCCAGATAGAGGAGGGGGTGGCTTTGAAGGACCGGACAGAGGTGAGAATACACACTGACAGACACACACATAGACACACACAGATAGAGGAGGGGGTGGCTTTGAAGGACCGGACGGAAGTGAGAATACACACTGATAAACACACATATACACACAGATAGACACACGCACATAGATAGAGGAGGGTAGCTTTAGAGGACAGGACAGAGGTGAGAATACACACTGATAGACACACACATAGACACACATATAGACACACAGACAGACACACACATAGATAGAGGAGGGTAGCTTTAGAGGACAGGACAGAGGTGAGAATACACACTGATAGACACACACATAGACACACATATAGACACACAGACAGACACACACATAGATAGAGGAGGGTAGCTTTAGAGGACAGGACAGAGGTGAGA